AACACGCACTGGAAAATCATAGAATTTACGCATTTCACGTTTTACATCGCGTAGTCTAGCCAGGAGTTGGGCTTGATGATACTGATACTAAAAGAACACATATTTTCGTCACTGCAATGAAAGGAAGGATTTTTGAGTTTTTTCAATTTACTTGTAAAAATTAGAAAAATTTCACGTCACCTGTTGCTTATTAACCCACACCATAACTGTAAATAGCTATAAAAAGCTGATTTCATAGTTTCAAAGTCTTGATACTAGTAATTTTCCAACCTTATCAGCTATTCGCTTCTTTTAATCAGCTTCCGGAAATGTACCAATATATGCTTTTTTAAAATTTTTCAGAGTCTGATTTTCTAGGAAGCGTTATATTTGCTTATTTACAGCTATATTTCAACGAGTCACACGGACTTAATCATTCCCGCGTTTAAATTTAAACATGGATTATATTAAGATGATTGTCGATACTCTCCGTTAAAATTCTTTATTAATTGGAAAACTTGTGAAGACTACGAAGGAATCACCATCTTGATGGCTATGTGCTCAAGTGGAATCCCACTCAAGTTCATTGTGTTCAGTCTTCAATTAATCGAAAATGTTCTCGAAACTTCAGTTGAGAAACAAACAGACATAACTATATGAGGAACAAAGTTCCCCCCAGGGTCAAGGTGGGTCATACGGTTTTCTTAAAGATTCTGTTGCTGATTTTCGTAAAAAAGTCAAGAGAACTGCGTCATACTTCATTTTTAGATTCAAAAAAGTGTTTTTTTTTCAATTCTACAAAGCTTCGGTATGAGCAAAGCCTCACTTTGCATTTCCTCGCTTAAATTCAAAATTTTAATGTCAGTCAGCCTTCATAAAGGTCTTTTGTTTCTTTGGGCCAAACGTTAGAAGAGTAGTGCTTATAGGAGCGTAAAGAACAATATTACCTCTTAAATTTAAATTTTAAAGTTAAGAAATTTTATTTGTGAGCCCCTTTATCAGCGCTCAGCTGGAAATAAAGAGCGGGAGCCCCATCGACCATCATTCATAGTTCATGTTAATTTTCACCTGCCTCTTTCAAGGCTATTTAATAGTAGCAAAATCAATAGGGACCCTTAGCAGTTAGGAAGGCAACGCCAAGGAGGTCGCCAATTTAAAATGAATGTATATATATTTATATAGTTGGAATTTCGCGAATGATAGGATGTGTTCACCATTTCTTACGGCGCCGCAATTTAACCTCAGCATAACGTATGAGGGCGGCGTTGAGTTCCAAATAAAAACTTAAATAATTTGCCGTCGGGGTTTCCTTTCTCGGACCACGCAAAATTTGATGTTTTCACGTTATTATTTTGCAGATGACGGCTAAGAAATGTACACAGTTTTGAAACACACGTGCTGAGCTGTCGTTCTGCTCATTAGCCCTTTTGTTTTCCCACGTTCTCGTTGCCGTCGTGCTTTGCTAAAAGTCCTTAATTCCTTTGTGAAAGGAACGAAACTATTGTTTATTTCATTCCTTTCAATAGCAAGACAACGAGTTTTGACATCCAGCTGTAAGTATTTATTTTTCTGAATGAAGACAATTTAAAGATTAAAAGGGGATTGGCGATCTCTGGCCTCTACCGCTTCTTGTTGTGAAGTTACTTGTTTTGTTTGTGATCACTATACTTGAATGTATATATATTTATATAGTTGGAATTTCGCGAATGATAGGATGTGTTCA